AACAAATTGGATAAATAAAATTTGGTACACATACACTATGGAATACTATGCAGCCATTAAAAAAGAATGAGATTATATCTTTTGTGGAAACATGAATGGAGCTGGAGGCTATTATCCTCAGCAAATGCATGCAGGAACAGAAAACCAAATACTACATGTTCTCACTTATAATTCAAAGCTAAATGGTAGGAACTCATGAATACAAAGAATGGAACAACAGACACTAGGGTCTACTTGAGTGGAGACGGTGGGAGAAAGGAGAGGAGCAGAAAAAATAACTATTGGGTACTAGGCTTAATACCCGGGTGATGAAATAATCTGTACAACAAACCCCCATGACATGAGTTTACCTGTATAACAAACCTTTACTTGTACACCCAAACCTAAAATAAAAGTAAACAATTTTATATGGATAAATTATAACGGCTTACAAATACGCTCAAACACACATATGTTTGTGTGTGTGTGTGTGTATATATATATATATGCATATGTATATTTATGTATATATGTTTTTAATAGCTCTAATTAATTACAATTCAAAGTGGTAATCAATAATTGCATGCAAGTTTGCTCCAAAGTACACCTGTGAAGATGAAAGGAAAAACTCCGTGAATAACTCAAGCTCCTTATCGAACCAGTGTGCAGCATGTATTACTAATATTAAAATAACTTCTAGTAAAAAATTTTACCAGGGTAACTTCACACTCTTCTCCAATGTCACTTCTTCTGGGAAACAAATCTTCTCCCGTCTTTCTTCCCAGCTTCCAGCTAAGTTAGTTTCTCTCACGTGCATCCTGAACTTTCACTATTATAGCGCTTGTTGACTCTAATTCCCTTTTTAATTGCCCCTCTTCTCTGATAAACTATAAGCTTTATGAAGGTAGGAACCAAGCCTATCATCTTGTTAGCTGTTAAATTTCCCTTGCTTAGGACGTTGTATTGACATAATAGACACTCTGAAAACATCTGTTAAAAAAAAAGTAGTCACAGTTGTCAGTCTTAGGCAATGAAAGAGGAGAAATCCAGGCAAACCAAACCAGAGTCTTGTCTTTCAATTACCTCTGGCGAAAGTTTCTCACACTATTGAGGAAGAGATTGGCATTTACACTAGAAATCTACTGTACAGTAGTATAGTACAATGCATTTGTTAAAAATATGGTAAACTGGCCGGGCGTGGTGACTCACACCTTTAATCCCAGCACTTTGGGAGGCCAAGGGGGGCAGATCACAAGGTCAGGAGATGGAGACCACGGTGAAACCCCATCTGTACTAAAAGAAAAAAAAAAAAGAAAAAAATTATCCGGGCGTGGTGGCACACGCCTGTAGTCCCAGCTACTCAGGAGGCTGAGGCAGGAGAATGGCGTGAACCCGGGAGGCAGAGCTTGCAGTGAGCCGAGATTGCACCACTGCACTCCAGCCTGGGCGACAAAACGAGACTCTGTCCCCCCCGCCAAAAAATGGTAAACTACTTAGAGTTCTAATTTTGTAGATTAAGTTTAGTTACTTTCATCTGCATGGGTTGCTTCCTCCTAAAGTTTTCTGTAAAAGAATTTGAACAAATTATTTCATAGAGAGATGCCTGGACTCTGGGGCCCCTACCCCAAATCATTGCTGTCAAGTTTTGTCCAGAGAATGGACATTACCATTTAAATGTCTACTTTACATATATTCATGACGAGGAATAATTACTAAGGTTAACACAAGCTCATAGTTGTTGAGTACTTACTATGTGCCAGGCACTGTGTTAAGTAATTTGCATCAGCTATCTGAGAGTCGTGGCCCATATACCAGGTTGGCACTCTTATTATCCTAATTTATTAATTTATATACCTGACATTTACTGGCTTCATACCATGTGTAAGATATTGAACTCAGCATCAGGGATACAATAGGGAATAAAATACGTATAAATTATACTGGAAATTACATTCTAGTAGAGAAGAGGAGAGAAATGAGAAAAACTGAACATGCCAATTTTATTAGATGTTAAGAATGTTATAAACAAGTGTCAGTAGAGAAGAGAAAAAGAGTTCTAGGAAGTGCAATATTGCACAGAGTTCAGGGAAAGTGTCTTAGTCTGTTTGGGCTATTATAACCCATAAATCATGTGGCTTACACACAACAGACATTTATTTCTCACTGTTCTGGAGGCTGGAGATTCCAAGATGAAGGTGCCAGCAGATTCGAAGTCTGGTGAGGGACTCGCTTTCTGATCATAGCTAGTGCCTTCTCACTGCCACATGGTGGCATAGTCACTGTCCTCACATGGTGGAAGGAACAAAGCAGCTCTCTGGGGCCTCTTTTATAAGGGCACTAATCTCATTCATGAGGGCTCCACCCTCATGACCTACTAATCACCTCTTAAAATTCCCACCTCCTAATACCATCACTTCGGGGATTAGATTTCAGCATAGGCATTTTGGGGGGATGCAGATATTCAGACCACAGCAGAAGGCTTCACTTATAGGGTGCATGTGAGCAGAATTCTGAAGGAGGTAGGATGGAGAACCATTCAGATATCTTAGGGAAGAACATTGTAGGCAAAGACAGTAGCATGTGCAAAATTCTGACATAGGAGCATATTGGAGTAGTTAGGGAATAGCAATGAAACCAGTGTGGTTAAAATCAGTGAGTGAACAAAAAGCAATTGTGAAGAAGGGGCCAGATCATATAAGACCTTGTTGGCTATTTTGAGGATTAAGGCTTTATTTTGAGTGACAGATGTTGTTGGAAGATTTTGTGCAGAAAATGATCTGGTTTACATTTTAAAAGGATATTCTGGCTTCTGTAAAGAGGATAGCTTGAGTGGGAAAAGGGAAGAACTAAGAAGTTTCAATAGGAGGCTATTACAATAACCCAGGTAAGAGGGCATGGTGGCTTGAAACAGTGTTTTATTGGTGGAGATGATGAGAACTGCTCAGGTTCAGTATGTATTTTTATGTGGAGCTCACAGGATTTGCTGATGGATTGGATGTGGGTTATGAGAGAACAAGAGAAATCAAGGATGACACCAGAATTTTTGCCCTGAGCAACCAGGAATATGGAGTTGCTATTTACTAAAATGCTTAAGATTGAAGGAAGGACATATTTGGGAGAAAAGAACAAGAGATTGGACTTGGACTCATTAGGTCTGAGTTTCCTATTAAATATCCAGTGGAGGTGATAAATACGGGTTGGATATATGTGTCTGGAGTTCAGCCGACTGCTTAGGCTGGAGACACAAATTTGGCAATGCTCAATGTAAGAATGGTATTAAAAACCCTAGAAACTGAGCTGACTCATCCAGGAAACGAGAGTTGAAAGAGTAGCAGTTCAAGGACTGAGACCTGGGGCTGCCCAACATTTAGGTATTGTGTTCATTCAGGGAAGCAGATGCTCAGACACTGTTAGGAGGGCAAGAGGCTTCTTGGGACATTTTGCCTGTGACAGACAAAGGGGAAGGAAGTGGAGTTGCATGAGGAAAGGCTTCAGACCACAAAGCAGATCTGATAGCTTGAAACAGAAGAGTCTGCAGGAGGCAGGATTGGTAGAGTTAGCCTCCAATTTTGATACGGCTCTGATAAGATTTTGGGCAACCCAAGGAAAAAGGTGGCATTTTTGCAGAGCTCCACTTTGGATAAACATGGCCAATCCCTAACGCTCTTGCTGTGCTCTGTCACTGATTTGGGGCTTCTGACAAATCTTCGTGTCAGCTCGAACTCTGCAGTAGACTCCAAACACTCTGCAGCTGAAGCCTGGTTGCAAATGGCCCTGCTTGCAACTAAAAGGCAAGTTTGTTCTTAAATGAAAATCTGAACAGCACACTTCATTGGCTGCCACAGATACCACTTGTGGCCATATGGATGCCCCAGCACAGAGAGACTAGGCAACTAGGCTGAATTCACAGAGAAAGTAGGTGGATATAAGTTCTGGCAGCCGGATTGTGGATGTGGTCCTCCACTGTGCATGTAGGACAATGTCAAATAGTGAATTAAACTTTATTTGACATTGTACCTAGAACTCCGTTAAAGAAGCACTACAATTGGTTTGGGTAGCTGTGTACCAATTTGATAGCTCCCCCTTTTCTTTTGTTCTAAAACTTTATTGGAATGTCTGCCTCTCCTACTTACCTGACTCACCATAGCAGCCACACCAACAATACATAGTTGATTCCTGAGCCAAACTCAAAGTATTTGCAGATAACTCACAAATGTTCCCTCCTCAATAAAGCTATCTCTGGTTCTCTAAGGAACGGTAGGTATTCTTGGACTACTCTAAAGCTGCATAGCATTTTATCCTAATTATCCTTATCACGTTCTACCTTTCATGATAAGTATGTGCCCCACTTCCCTATTCTTCAGCATCAGTCCTTCCTCCTGCATGGGCAGACTGAGGGACTCAAGCCCTATGCCTGACCCATTGCAGGCTCCTTCTGCTACTCTCCAGCCACAGGTCTTTATCAATCTTCCCTCCTTTCTCACTCTTCAGGGCCTTTTTCACAAGCTGTTCTTTCTCTTGGAATGACTGCCCAAGTTTCAGCATGAGAGCTCTCTTCTTTGAAAACATTTCCTCTCCTACCTCCTACTAATCTCATCTAGATGTCTCTCCTCTCACACTATACTGATGACATTTGAAGATTTTTGATGATGACCTGAAGTCAGAAACGCCTTTTACAACATGACCTGGTACACAAACCCGCATATACAGAGCCTCCTGTGCAATCAGAACACAATTGTTTTACCAAACTCTTGTATCTTTACTGCAGTACAACGCACCCTGATATATTCTGGCCTATTTTATTCCTTTAAAACATGCTGTCTGCAGCCCAGTAAATTGATTTAATGACCTGCCAGTGGGTCTCAACATACAGCATGAAAAACACCACCATTCGTGAGCCTTCGTTAATACACTGGGCTCACAATGCTGACATCATTAGTATAGCTGTCTATTTCTCCAGGGAGGCAGTAAATGCTGAGGATAGAAATCGTATCTTATTATTGTTTTTCCTTCTATTTCAGCACCAGGAAATGTCTAAGAAATGAATAAATGAATGCATGCAAGCTCGGAGGTCTTGACAATAACCTACTTCGAGTTTGAAAATGCAGCACCGGAATGTTTGCATTCGACTTACCAGAAGCTTCTCCCTCACCTCTTGGCTGTGAACCTCCATAGCGCCCTCCCACAGCATGTCAAAGGTGTTGTTGGATCAGCAGTCCCCCTATTCTGGAACATTTTATCTTTCTACTTCATTTGTGTTGTTTGTGTTGGAGGTACCCCGATCTTACAGAGCTATTTCTCTGACTTTAGATGATGGGCACCCAACATAAGGTGAGCCAATTTCTAAACCTGAGACCAGAATGCATGTGAGTCCGTTTTTCTCCAGGCATGGGAAGACAAGTTTTCTGCTATATGGAGTAAGCCAGACCATAGAGTATGATGTAGAGACCGAAGAACCAAGGAAAGATAGAGATAGAGTAGGTATCCTGACACCATTTCTAAACTCCTTGTTCCAATTTTTTAAAAGCCAACAGAGCTCTGCATATTTCCTGTTGGGTGATTCAGCTGTCAAGTGCCCCAAGATGCTTTCACTAAGTTCTTTATTCATTGGCGTTATGGTCTTAACAATACCACTGGCTTTTGTCAATTTGATGTAGGTTTCTGTCAGTGGGGAAAAATAAGTCCAAAATCACACAATCCAAATGTACCAGAGAAGCATGTGGCTGGGTAGACAGTGATTTGTGGTTATGACTAAGTCTCTATTCTAGACACCATCATTTCCTCAACTCTGTCACGAAGGAAGCCTAGAATATTTGCTTAGGAATGCAAATATTCTTTAAACCGAGAGACAGGTCATGGTTGTACCAGAAAAGGCAGAGGGAGGCTTTTTACTTTTCATGTATAAACTAGAATAGGTAGTAAAAATCATTTTACTGAATGAACTCTGGCTTTTTTCCTTCATTTTTCCAATTCCATAAAATCTACATAGTTCTAAGTTTTGTTGTGAAGATTAAATAATACAATGAATGTGAAATACGTAGCATAATTCTTGACATGGAGTAATAAATATAGCTCTTCTAATTATTCCTTTTCTTGTAAAAATCATGCCACAGTCTTCTAATTTTTAAATCATTTCTTGTTTCAAAAGTGAATGTCTTAGATAAAGCAGAGATTTACTGTGCCCCCATCACTCTTGTTATTTAGGGTTCTATTATCATTTGCTGAATCACTAAATCTCCAGTGATTTGCATGCTTGGTTTGGTTAATAAATAGTAAAAATAGTACCACAAAAAATAAAGATGGTTTTATTTTTACAGCAGCCTAGAAAATAGCTGGTCAACAGCCCAAAATGAGACTAGATGATAGACATTTCTGTAGATAAAGCATCTACCACCACTGACCATCACTAACTCAACAAAAATGTTTGTCCTGCTTTGCCAGACAGATAATTAAACAGCTTGTCCTGTCAGGACCTGATGCTGGGATGTCAGAGAAAATTGAGTTCCTGAATTTTGCCATATTTTGTAGTGGCCAGAATCTCACTATGAGAGACAGCAGGTTTGAGTTGCAGAATTTGACTTCTCTCTTCAATGTATTTTACTGGAGAAGTTGAAATTGTACCTCTGAGACTTCAGACAGCCTCTGTAGCCTAAGCCGCTCAGTCTGAGGTTGCTTCAGGGATGGAAAAGTGATCTTAATTATAGATAATCATAGAGCTCTGCCTGTGCTCTGGCCCCCAAAAAGGCCATAGATGAAAAGTGGGGTGACAGGGGTAGTTCTTCTCCTTTCTCCATTGTCCACCGGGTCCCTACATATGAAAAATTGGTTCAGAGACTGGTATTCAGAATCAAGATGGAGAACCACAAAGGAAGTTAAATGTAAGCTGGACGCCGGTTTTCAACGGGCAGAGATGGGGCTCTCTGGGCCACATGACCTCGGGAAATGGGGATAATCAAAATCGCCCGTGAAGTTTTTGTCAGATTATCAAAACCCCTTTATAAGAGACTATCAGAATGAATTTGGATCAGAAAAGCTCTGAGACTATTCTGTTTGCAATTTTAATATACCACTATCACTACTACTCCAGAAAAATAACAGTTTTCTCCAGACCATTTTCTCACTGAAAACTTCCTCTACTATACTGGCCAAGAATTCAATTCCACTGTTGCTACATCACACAGAAGAGAAGACTAGGTGGTAGTGCCGCTGGCCCTGCGGTTTAGTCCTTCTGATCTCTTGATCATCTCTCTTTGTAATATTGTCTTATTATGCCTGAGTCCAGAACCCTTCAACACACCTCCGCAAAATCTCCCTGTGCCCCAAAGTAGACCATGTGCTTCCCTTGCAATCTAGTTCCATGTAATAATGGAGCTAGAAGACAGCTTTGAGCTCACTCCATTTGTTCAACTCCAGCTGCTTCATAGACTATGAATTCAAGAGTCAAAGGAGGAAAAGTGAGGTCCTCAAGATGAACAAGTGAAAGAGGAAAATTTAGCATTTAATATGTCATAATTCACTGTTTTGCATTTGTAAGATCGAGTTCTTTACTACTGGCATATACCTTCTTTGTGAAGTGATCAATAGGAAAGTCACATACCACTCTCTTATTATGCTGATCTCTCCGCACTGTGTTATTATCCCCACATCATGCATGTCCAGGGTGAACAAAGAAAGACAACTCCTTACAAGGATCCAACGTGCAAGTGCAGAAGAATAAGTAAACACACTATGGCAAAGCTACTCAAGAATTCATTCAGCTACCATAATGGTGTATATGCAGAATTTACAAAAAAAATAAAAATTAAAAAAAAAAACAGCAAAAAGTAGCCGCAACAAAACCAATATTGATAGGTTGAACATTGTGCACTTTTGCCCCCAGTATTCATTCTCTTCTAATAACAGAATTTCTGTTTTCCTCCTGGGCATTCATGTCTCCTTCATTTTCAATCATGTAGTCTGAGCACAGTGTGGGTGAAAACTGTGACACAGACTGGTGTATTAGCTTTCTTGCTGCAGCTGTGGCAAATTAACACAAATTTAGTGATTTACAGTTCTGGAGGTCAGAAGTACAAAGCGGTTTTCATGAGACTAAAATCGAAACATCAGCAGGCAGGGCTAGTTCCTTTTGGAGACTCTGGAAGGAGAATATGTTCCTTGCCACTTCCAGCCTGCACAAGCTTCTGGCAGCCCTGGGTTTGTGGCCACATCACTCCAATCTCAGATTCCACTGTCACAGTGCTTTTTGTACTGCGACCTCTAACTCTTTTGCTTTTCTGCTATAAGAACCCTTGTAGTCACATTGGATAATAGTTCCATCTCAAAATCCTTAATATAATAATATCTGCAAAATCCCTTTTGTCATAAGGTAACAGATTCTGGGGAATAGGACATTCATACCTTTGGGGTATCATTACTTAGTCTACCACAACCAGCCGATCAAAGCAGCAAATATCTTCAGCAACAGTCATTGTTTTGGATAAGTAAATGGCCCAGGTCCATCCAATCATGAAAATCCTGGGACTTGTGAACTGGCACTGAGGGCAGTAAGTTCTCACTCTAGGCCACCTTGGAGCCGTGAAGCAATGGGCTAGCACTGGCATCCCTGCAGCTGTCCTGTCACTCCACGTGCGTAACTTGTATCAGAGCAAGAGTTTCCCCAGTGATTGAGCCTCTGGTCAGGTCTATGTCTAGGCTACCATTTTGAAAGTAAATGTGCTTCCATTTGCTGAAGTCAATTGAAATTTTTTTGTGTCATTTTCAGTTGAAAACATCTTACCAGTTATAAATAATACTAATCTTATTGATTTCTTACTCTCTACCCAGCACTCTGAGAGTTTTACATGGATCATCTCACTTTATCCTCACACAGCCCTATAATTAGGTAGTTACTGTTATTATCCTCACTTCCTATGAGAAGGCTTGAGGCTTAAAGAAGCTGAGTGATCAGCTCATGGACACAGAGCTGGTTAGTAGGGAAGCCTGGATATCACAGTCTGTCTTCACAGACTCAACCATTCTGCTAAAAATTACCTTGTGATGTTGAAGGAAAACGCTGAGTAAAATGGCAGGGTCCATTTAATAAAATTATAATAATATAAACAATCTCTGCATAGCAACCATTATAGAGAGGCAATATCTTTGGGGAATCATTTTGTACTTTTTCCTACGTATTGTAAATTTTCTATAATTACAGTTTCTCACCTTTTTAATGGAAACTAATTTTTATTTAACCAGAGATGACCTTGTTCTCTGCACAACTGTGTCTGAGTATTGGTCTTGTGCTCATAAGAATGGCAGGTAAGATTTTGAAGCCTAGTGCAACATGCTACTAATTGCTGCATTTACACTCATCTTCCTGGGAGCTGGGCTGCAAATGTACATGCATGCTTCAACCATTGTGTTGGTGACATTAATAAGAAATTACATTTTTTTCCCCTAGCAGAGGACTAGGTAAGTAGGTCTCTGATAGATGTAATTATCACAAGGTTTCAAAAGGAACTATTTTTTAACAAATACAAAAACTCAAATATGTATGACATATACATACCTATAGGTTGGTTTATAAATACATTCATCATGAGAACTTTTGAAACTTGCCATTCGAATGTTAACTTGGTTAATGAATCTCTCTTTTATTTGTCTATGGCACAGTGTCTCTAACTTGAAGTAACATGAAGTTGGCATTTTGGGGACAGATACTGTGTACCAGACATATTGTCAGGTAATTTAACCACATCATCTCATTTAATCCTCACAAAAACTCTATGAGATGAGAAAACTACATCTTTTAGATAAGGAACCTGCAGCTATGAGCTTAGGAGATTTGCTCTGGGTAGCACAGCATGCAAGAGTGAGAGCTGTGACAGACTGTGGTCTGATACCAAAACACGTACATCTCCCCCTTCACATTCCTGTGTTTTCACCTATGAAACCCTATAGTATTATGCAAAGCATTACCTGACCCAGTATTTAAATGTGAGCTACATTGTATCATTTTACATTGTTTATTTACATATACTATAACCATACAGCTTTGTATTTTATAGACTGTCTACTTCTGAGAATGAATGAGAATTAGAGGACCATATGAACTTCAGAGTTAGATTTGGATTTCGATCCTAGCTATGTGTCCTTGGGTAAGTTACATGACCTTGGTAAACTCCTTCATCTGAATATAAGAAAGATAACTGCACCCCTGTAGAGCTGCTATGAGCAGAAAGTAAAGGGATACATCCAAAGTTGTTGCAATAGAGGCTGGTTGGTGTTCCCTCTTTCCCAGGCTTTAGGGAGGTTGGTATAGGTCTGTAAATGTGGTCTGATGGATTAGCTAAATTAAATTAAATTAAAACCCTTTCTTTCCTATTCCCTGGCCACATTCCTCTTTCAAAAAGATGTGTAGGCAGAAGAAGGAATGAATAGCTGGCATTCTGATGAAAATACTCCATCTTTCTGGTAAGGAGAATTCATGCAATAGATCAGAGCTCGTGTGGCAGGTTTCATTTTTATAGCTTGATGAGTGGCACATTTTGCTTCTTTTGTTTGCTTTTATCTTGGGGTCAAAGAAATGATGCAATACATTATCACAAGTGCACACCCTTCATTTCTTGAACATCTGTGCTCAGAGCATATGTCTGCCTAGACAAGTGGATTCGTCTTGCTGCTATCTGGTCTCTTATGTGTTGGCTGCTTTGCAGCATGGTGCATTTATTTTGACCATTTCTGCCAAATAATGACAAGTTTAAGGGGAAATCAGGAAAAGGGAAATCTTTGTTTTCCATCTGGAAAGAACTCTGAGCTATTTATTAGCCTCCTTCTCTCTTAAGTCATCAAGGTTTAAATATGTTCAAGAGCCACGAGGCCTGAAGTTAAGTTATTACTATTGGCTTATCTTGAGCAAATTTTGGCTTGTAGACAGACGCCCATGTGGTTTGAATTTCTTCCATAATAAGCTTAAAATATGAGGGTGTAATTAGTGAGTCTTGGAGTTGAATGAATTTACGAGCGTGCAAACTCTTGAGATAAGCCAAGTGCCTG